CCGTGACACGTGTACACGTGTAGTCGTGTACGTGACACGTGTACACGTGTAGTCGTGTATGTGAGACGTGTACACGTGTAGTCGTGTATGTGACACGTGTATTCGAATGTCCGTGTATGCGCAATCTCTATTAATTAAAAAAAAGTTTTGACCATAAAAAAAGCATTATCTTCCCCTATATTAAAGGATTGACAGACAAAAGTAGCACAAACTTGAAAAAAACCTAAACACCATCTACACTGTCCCAAAAAATTAGATAAAATTATTAAAAGAGTTAATTGAAATGCTTAATGCAAAAGGGGGCAATGAGAGCCAAACGCTGGGTGTTGAGTGCGGATATAACGATATTATGTGTTATTTATTAGAAGTAATTAAAGTCAAACGTTTCGACCAACACATGTGGTCCTTTTCAATGACAATGAAATACATAAATATAATCAATTCGGTCAAATAAGCGTGTAATAAAGGTCTCTAACAAATTGCTTTCTTAGAATTATATTGTAGGTAAGAAAAACTTATCGATTGTATCGATGAACGCAGTGTCTCGCATCGTTGTTTGAATTCAATGGTGATGCTCGCTTCACTGTGCAATATGTAGACGCCAAATACTTATTATGGTGTCAGAGCAGAATTTCTTGCATGCAAGTACGGTTGAAATTGTCATCTTGATTATGCGACGTGTAACTCTCGAACGAGGATGTCAGTATGACATCCATACATCTGACCATGCAACAACTGTGAAGCCTCTTATATTGGACAAACCACACGACACCTTCTGACTAGAATTAAAGAACATAACAATGACATTAAAAAAGATGAAAGCTGCCACTCCGTGGTCAGCAAACACCGTGCATCACATGATCACGAGTTAAATTGGATGGAACCAAGAATTTTACATAGTGAGCGCCTCAAGAGAAAAAGAGAAATCGCCGAAATGTTTTTATCAAGAAGATCGATAACACGCTAAATTTACAAACAGACACCGAAAACTTAAATGTAATATACGACTGTGTAATCAAAACTGTTTAGTTCGCAAAATCACCTTGTATTGTTCTTAAGACATGACTAACAAATTAGTTTGACCCCAGCTACCACAGCGTTCAGACGTGTACACGTATATATATTATACATTTTATAACTCGACTCTGTCTTATTTGACGATAACTGACTTAGGTGCGTTACTTAACTTTTAACTAAATCCTTTTTACTTATTAACCTACATTATTTCATAACTGCGTTGTTGTTACTGATTTGCAGTATCTCGAAAAGGACCCAAAAGAATAGGGTCAAAACGTTGTGTAATAAACTGATTAAATAACTAGCCAGTTGGGTTGACTATAAGTTACCCGTCTAATTTTTAATCATTACTAGTAACAATAAGCAAACTCTTCTCTTTTGTCGATTTTTATATAATTAGTATGAAACATCGCAAAAGTTGGGTTTGGCAATACGCTAGCCGTAAAGGTGATAAAGCATATTGCGAGCTATGTGATGACACAAACGACAATGAATTCTCCTGCTCTGGCGGTACTACCGGATCTTTGGGAAGACATTTGATGACAGTACATAATGTTCATAGGGAAAGCAACACGACGTCTAGTGAACAACGGTACATTTCTTCTTAAATATTTCTTATTATACGAATGCCATGCGAATTTCAAATTATATTTGTTTATTTTGCAAAAACTTGATAGTAAAATTTATAATAAAATTATTTAGATACTAATACATTGTTACGGCTCTTAGCCTTATTCCTTCAAATTCATGTTTATCATGTATAAGTCTTATGAATTTTATTAATTATAAAATTTTTTATTTTAAATAAATTTACTCTGAATGATAAACACATTTTATACTAAAACATATTACAGGCATCTATCTGATCGTGAAGAAAATGCAAGCGTTGAAGAACAACAAAATAATATTAGAGACAGTGAAGATCAGACAGTTGATCTGTCCCAATCAAGTTCTTCAACATCTTCCGAACCAAATCCGAAACGTCAACGGAAGCAGCGCAACATACAAACCAACATTGTTTGCAGTACAGAGCGGAAGGAATTAATACATCAAGCATTGGCTAAAATGATTGCAATCAACCAAATGCCAATCTCTTTTTGCTCTAGCGAGGGTTTCCGACAATTTATGGCCGCGGTAGAGCCAAATTATTCTCCATGTAAAGATGAAGCCCTGAAAAAAAGATTGCATCTATTAAAAAATAATATTGAAGAGAAAATTAGAGTTGCATTGGAAGAGGCTGTTGCTATTTCTTGTACTACGGATTGCTGGTCTTCTGTATCACAACATTCTTATGTCACTCTAACCGTACACATGTTGGACGAGAAGTGGATTCCAAAATGTTTCACTCTTGGAGTATACGAAATGGAGGAGCGTCACACAGCAGCTAATTTGGCCAGTTGAATGGAAGAATTATTTATTAATTGGAAGATTAATGAGAAAGTTATTGCAGTAGTTACCGATAACGCTACAAATATTGTAAACGCTATTCACTTACTCCAGCCAATTAAAGAAAAGTTTGGTCTGACTTGTGCTGCTCATAGTCTTCAGCTTGCAGTTAATAAAGCACTCGTTGGAGGTAATATTGAAAAATTACTTGTAAAATCCAGCAAAATTGTTTCACATTTCAAACATTCAAATGTGGCAAAATATGCGCTTAAAGAGAAACAAGAGCAGCTCGATTTACCTACAATGAGTCTATTACAAAGCTGTAAGACAAGGTGGAACTCGTCATACTTAATGCTCGAACGACTTCTTCAGAATCGAAGTCCTGTCATGAATGTATTGACAGATCGTCGTATTACTACAGCTTCCGTGGCCGAAAGCTTAGAAATAAGTGAGAGAGAATGGTCACTCATAGAGGCACTGGTGATATTGTTGAAACCTCTACAAATGGCAACAACGGTTCTATGTGGCGATAACAATTCTCCTACATCTATGGTTCGTCCTGTCTTACAAAAGACACTTCAGAATCATATACAAATTCGCGATGATGATGACGTAATAATACGGAATGCTAAGGAAATAATCTCAAATGATATTACACAACGTTTTGAATTAACATGGACTTCCAATAACATTACGGCGAGACAGATTGCTTCACTTTTGGATCCAAGGTTTAAAGACTTGGATCATGAACCTTTTGAGGCAAGAGCGGAGATTAGAGCTCACGTGAAACACATGTTAGAGGCAGTAGTTCCTACTGAAGATGCATGCTCTAAAGTTGTCTCAAAAAATAATGCTCTGGAGTTTCTCTATCAACAAGAGGTCAATAGTAATGATATTGACACACAGTGGCAACGCTATATATCTGAGCCGCAATTACGTTTTGATTTAGATCCATTTGAGTGGTGGAATGCTCGAAAGGATAAATTTCCCGCTATTGCATACCTTGCCAGAAAGTATTTAAGTATACCTGCGTCTTCTGCAAGCTCAGAGCGATGTTTCTCAAC